AACCTTTTACACTGTCTATCATACATCCATCTCCTTAGGTGTTTTTGGTGGACACTTGTTCCCTTCTTTTTTATATTTTGGCACATTCTCCTTCCACCAGTGGGTTTTTGGTGAGGTACCCGAGTCTTTGTAATCATGGGCTGAGGCCATGTAACAATATTTTTCTTTACTACCCTGCTGTCCCATCTTTCATAAGCTCCTTCTCTTCTAATTGCAATCTCCTGCCCTTCTGACTCCTTTCTGCTCTCTGTTCTTCCATTTCATCCCTCTTCTCCCATCTGTTGTTCTAGTATCTGTAAGTTTTAATGCCAATAGTCATCATTGGTGACTATTGTTTGGGCTCAGGAACACTGGGAGCACATTTATCTTGACTTGTGGATCTATGGATTCCACTTTGTGGCTGACCATTTGGCGCTACAATGTCTATCAGTAGGGCTTACCCTTCGTTTCTTTCTCTTCCTACCTTGTTCCCTGTTCCTATTCCTTTCCCTCCTCCAGGGGATCCTGTATTTATCTGGCATCTCTGAGACAGTGTCAACCTTTTTTGAGCAAGGATGTCATTGAAAGGGTTTCTCACCCTTCTCAGAGATTTTATTCCTGTCTGTTTCTCATTCCCAAGAAAACTGGGGATTGGCATCCAGTCATAGATCTTTCATGTCTCAATCAGTTTTTCGACCTTCCTCAGTTTACCATGGAGAGTTTTATCACCCTCCAGTGGTCGTTTTGTTTGGAGCTTTGGATGACCAAGGTGGACATCTCCAATACTTATCTTCACATCCGTATTTCCCCATCATCTAAACTTTACCTTCAGTTTTTACATCAAGGTCGAATTTATTAGTTCTGAGCTCTTTCTGTTGCCTATCATTGACGCCATACATTTTTTATCATGCGCTGTGCCTTTTCTTGTCACATTTGTGGCTTGGGATTGAGATTTCACCATTATATGGACGACTGGCTTCTTTTAAATCCATCCTAACATGACTCCTCCAGCCATACTCTTCTCCTTCTTTGGGAGGCAGCTTGTCTATGTTGGCTGATCAAGCTGAAGAAATCTCATCTCTCACCCCTCCAATATCTGGTTCACTTGGGTGTGTATTTCAATTCCCATCTCAGCGGGGAACAACCTTCTCCACTTCATTTATGGGCCATGGAGAGTTTGGTTTCCACAACTCTATATATCTTATCTTTCTCTTCCTACATGAGTGGTTCTCTCTCTTTTTGGGACTTAGGCTTCCATGGATCCCCTTGTCCTTTTGGGTCATGCATCAAATGCATTTTTAGTGGGCTCTACACAATCAATGGAACCTCTCTTGGAATCCCTTGTCCATCTTCCCTATTACAATGACCTTACCTGGTGGCTTGACAGGATTAATACTACCATTCATATAACTACAAAAATGGGTCCCCTGAATAAAACTAATTGGTTCTTCTGCATATATTCCCCTTGTTGTCAACTCTTAAGTTCAAACCCTTAGGGCCTCCTAGCTATTGCAGGGACATACTTATTCCACTAAGTACTATGATGAGTGTTCCTCTATCTCCATCGTGTCTAAATCTTTGTCTTTTTACAGATGCTTCCATGGTATGTTGGGGCACTTGTCTCGACTCTTTCGAGATCTTAGTTTCATGAAACTAGGAGGAATCAATCGTTTATGTCGACCTTTTGGAGCTCTTAGTGGATTGTTGAGCTTTGGATTATTTTCTTCCAGGCTCAGCATGGCAGGTGGTCAGGGCGCTTGACTAGCAATCTGCAGGTCGCGGGTTCGAATCCTCGTTACACCAAACATGCTCCTCTTTCAGCTGTGGGGTTGTTATAATGTGACAGTCAATCCTATTATTCATTTGTAAAAGAGTAGCCCAAGAGTTGGTGGTCAGTGGTAATGATTAGCTGCTTTCCCTCTAGTCTTACACTGATACATTAGGGATGGCTAGCACAGATAGCCCTCGTGTAGCTTTGTGCGAAATTCGTAACAAACCAAACAATTTTCTTCCAGTTGTACATGGACATTTTGGGGTATCCTACATCAATTGACAGTGGAGCACACTATCTAACTCTCTGTGTTTCCAAACCCTTGACCTCCTCTTTGGGCTCATTTTATATGTGTCAAATAAACATTATATTATGAAGTTATTTCTTGTAATGACTCAAACGAACATTATATTATGAAATTAGTTCTTGTAATGACTCAAACGAACATTATATTATGAAGTTATTTCTTGTAATGACTCAAATGAACATTATATTATGAAGTTATTTCTTGTAATGACTCAAATGAACATTATATTCCTTAGTTTTGTGCTCATCATTTTCACAAAATGTAACTTACAAACTTTTTGCCTATTGGTTACTCAGCAGTAAATCTTAGGGCTTTTCACACTAAAAATCGAATTTTGATATCTGCAGTGGGCAGAGCACATATAGCCCATTGTGTAGTAATGCGCTTAACATCAAAGAAACGAACAAAACAAAAATGTTAATAATATAAGTCGACATTTATAATTATTTTTAGGAGAGGGATCTTAGGAATTATAAACTAGTCTAAATTATTTGTGAGAAATTTGAAAAATATTTTTATTAATAAATAAAATTACTTTCAGAAAGTTATTATTTGTAATTAAGCACAAAGCTACACAAATGGCTATCTATGCTTTGCCCACCACGGGTATTGAAACCCGGATTCTAGCATTGTAAGTCCGCAGACATACCGCTGTGCCACTGGGGGGCTACAGTATTATTACAAATAAAAATCAATCTCATTATAGACAAGATTGAATAAGACATAAAGGCTGAAGTCAAATAAGCCATAGAAGATATACAGGAATATACCGCTGTGCCACTGGGGGGCTTTTCAGAAAGAAAGAGTTAAGCATTTATGTATTTCAGTTTAATAGTTTTATAAAAGATGTTAATTTTTGCATTTTAAATTTATAAACTTACCATGGACGTACTGGGGTTCTTTCTAAAGGATTGCTTAATGGTAATAGTTAGAAACCTCCTGTTTTTCATGGAAATATAGTTTAATAAAGGTGTTTGCGTGATTATTTATTTTTTAAAACTTCTTTCAGACCTTTGAATGACCAAGGAAGTCTACAAAGTAACGTAACTACCTCTATAGAGAAGAGCATGGATTCAGAAGATCCAAAACATGAAGCTGCTTGCTGTTTGCTTAATCTCTCTTCTATGCCTACTTTAACGACTGAAACGTATAGTGAGAAAGGTATGCGTTTTAAGTAATTGTATTATTTGTTGTGAGAAGTTAATGTGTCATCTGATTATATTCGTTAATGGTTTCGATTCAAAACATATCTATTTCGAAACCAGTCATAATAGATAGTTATTTCTGTTTTTATTATGAAGTTTTACAAAATTATAATTGGTTATATTTTAACCAATCAAAATGTTTCTTATTGTTCTGGTTGTGGTTCAGTTAGCATTAATGTAAAATCAGGAAGGGGGAGGAATTACTCTAGGAATTTGCATTGGGGAATAGGGAAAAGATAGGGTAGCTGAGAATTTGGCTGGGGAACAGAAAAAAAAATTCAATTAAAGCATTAAAAATGGTGCTTTTTGATCTATTTTAGAGCTGTGTTTTGTCTAATTATTAAGTTATATATTACTATTTAAAATATATATCAAATCTAAATAAATCTAACTTACCGATGTTTAGTAACTAGAACCTAAATACCAAAATAACTACCCGCAAACTTGTTTTTATATTTAAAAAAAAAGATACCCTTGTTGGTGCTATTAATTTTAAAACGGGAAGACCCAACTGAGTGAAGGGCACTGTTTGGAAGTATAATTATTTAACAAAGCATGTTTATTAAATGTCTACAAATAAGTAGTATACTTGAGGAATTATAACAAAAAATTCGGAATTTGATACTTGAGGTGGGTACTGTACAATTAGCTAGTTCATTGCACAGTTTTCCACTTAATAGAATACAGAGTTAGCACTAAAACTTCACAAAGTCTATCACTCATTCTTTCAGTTACTTCTAAGTAGCTTACAATTAGTCAGAGATAGTAAAGGTAGTCATGGTTCACCCTACATTTGTGCTGATTTCATGTATGGGGAACTCAACCATTTGCAAATGAATGGAAAACATTAAAATGCCTTAATTCAATATGAAACTGGCCCAAACTCTAACTCTGTTATTAATATTATTAGGTCTTTTCTTTGTGCTTTCTTTTCATGATCTGTAAGATAATGTTCTTGGTTAGCATATCAGACTTGTTATACATTGATTGAAGGTCAGGTATAAGCACAGCATGTATAGAGATTTACAGAGTAATAGATAGGATCTACAATTCACATCATTGTTATTAGTGAAATTCACAGGATTTTAAACTTTTTTGGGGACGGTATGGTCATATCTAAAGCATTCTCTTGGATGCCATCAAACTCGGACTTATCGATCCAATACATATCGTGTTACTGGAATCTATCACTTTGTATGCTGGTTCTTTACTTTGGTTTGATACTTAGTGGATGCTCCAAACTATTATTAAAGGTTTGGATGAAGAACTGTTTTATTTTCTACATTAGCATGCTCCCAAGTAGCCTTTCTTGTTGTTGCATTTGACCGTGAATAGGGCAGTTTTAACATTTCAAACTCTCAAACTACTAAAGCAGAATCCAGTAACAAAAATCTATGAGCTTCTTCATTCATTGTGATTTTCACTGGCTAGTTGTGGTAGATGTAGACTTTTATAAACTGTATACAGCAAGACACCATGTATCTTACATGTAGGTTTATTACTTTGTTCTGCTGCTTCCAGTAATTTAAAGTGTCTTTAGTAAGATAAACTTCAGAAAGTACATTTGAAAAATATATATATATATATAATAAATGTTACACCCTTATCTACTACCCTTAGTCTCTGTTACAACAGAATACAGGGTAAATTAAGACCTTTATTGTGGTGGTTAAAAAACAACAACAATATTTTTCGGTGGTTTTATTCTTTTCATTAGAAACCATAAACTTAAAACTCTACTCACTTTCAAGGCTTTACATGTAATAGAATAGCCAAGCACAGTGTATTATTATTTTATAATTTTGGATATTTAAATAACTTAATCAGTAGATGAAATATTGTTAGATTAGAAGGGTTTTAATGTACAAGGTGTCCCAGAAGTCTGGACCCATAGGAAAAAATATTTATTCTTTATTTATTTATCAAATTACATGTCATTAACAGCCATACACATATTGATTATTGAATGAATGTTTTTTTTGAACATTTCTTAAGATGGAAACACCGATCTGAGAGCATGCATTCTAAATGTTTCCTTTCAGAAATATTAGACATGCCTCCCTCAGGCTTTTTCCTGAAACTTGTAGCAGTACCAGTTCTATCTTCTCTTGATTGGTATACTGTGCTATCGGGATATTTTCTTTCCTGAAACATGTAAAACTAACATTAGAAATGTGTTTGTTTAACTTAAGAACATAATGTCTATTTTCCCTTGGGGTCCAGAATTCTAGGACACCTTGTACAATATGCTAAGTGAAATGGTTATCGAGATCACTTGGATACATTTTATGGGATATTCCTTAGACTTGATAAAAATATTTAGAATCCATTGCAATTTCCTCACTCTTAACATGGTTGTCAGAACTTGAACTTTATTAGCTTATTATTGTTTACATGAATTGATAATTATTTT